GTGTACATGTCTCCGGTGTACATGTCTCCGGTGTACATGTCTCCGGTGTACATGTCTCCGGTGTACATATCTTCGTTGTACTTCTTTCTGTTGTTTCTCTCTTTTGTTACATATTCTCTCTCTTGTTCCACTCCTCTCTTGTTCCAAATTTTCCTCTCCCTCTCTAGTGTTCCTCTCTCGCTCTCCTTCTTCCCCTTCTTTTGTTCCCTCTCTCCTTCCCTTCTCTATTTTTCCTACTCGACAAATTACACAAAAATACTCATATTTTCGAAAAATCCAAAGTGTTACCTTATTTGAAGATCTGTTGTTGATGAACACATTTGAGTACCAAAAAATTGTATCTTTACAATTGTAATTTTAGGAAGATGCCGAGACATTTTTTTTAAAGTTTCCGTAAAATTAATCATTTCAACGAACATGAGAAATACACCAATCACTCACGCGTCATTTACGCTATCTAGGTACAAATGTAATAAAAATTTGCTGTTTTTATGAAAAAGGCTTTTAAGGAAATAAAAATTGTCTCTTTGACACCAACTTTTGCACAAAATATTCATGTATTTGAAAAATTGAACATGACAAATGATCTGCACATTTGCTCAGCTCGAACAAATGCTGAGATGGCTACTCGTTTTGCTTCTGGACATAAATTTAACTTAAAATTAACTTCTCCCCATAGCACGGCATACACAGTTTTTAACTTTTTTTGATGTAGACAAATAAATAAATAAATAAATAAATAAATAAATAAATAAATAAATAAATAAATAAATAAATAAATTAATTAATTAATTAATTAATAAATTAATTAATAAATAAATAAATTAATAAATAAATAAATAAATAAATAAATAAATAAATAAATCAGCTAGCGTTGTGGACGGACGGACGAACGGATCCAATCGCGTTTTTGGTATCCATGATCTACAAAGTATGGATTCTTTCTACATCACGTGTTAGAGGATTTTTTTGTACATTTAAGAACAATTTATTAATTTTTTTTATCAATATGGGTTTTTCTGCCGAAATTCGCCGCTTTTCCCAGCAGCATTATATAGGTTTCTCTCTCTAAAAAAGTACCTTCTTAAAAGTAACGATATTGTGAATAACCCTTTCGTGCCTTTTGAATACTTTATATCCGCTCTAATACTAACACAAAAATAGTTTTTTGTGAATTCAATTTATTAAAGTTAAGGAGACACACAATAAATAAATCAAATAATTTATGCTCAGGTAGGTAAAATATCTCGTTACAAACCTTAGTTTGATAATGGACATGCGCTATCACATTATTACATAACCCTTACGAAGAGGTGGGAAAGTATGTGCTTTTATAGCTGCACTAGTTTTATATAGAAACAAGCAAATAAGAATTATGGATATCGGATGGATGGATGGAATGGAATTCTAGTGATGCAAGTCTCCCGACCCGGAATGCTCTCAAGCAACTTCATGACCCGTAATAAGATAGTGCTATCTCACAGCTGTGCTAAACTCACTGGATGGGGTTACAAGAGTTGATTTAAAACGAAAGACAGTCAGTTTCAATATGAAAACGTCTTGGCGAAGTTCATCGTTAATGTGAGGTCCGACAACGGATGTAAAAATTTTAGTGGTAGCTTAGACCATTTTCAATTACTAGGTGTGTTTCAGTCCGTATACTTGGAGTGTTTCTCTACTTCCTTCATTCACAAATCTCTGATTTTCGAAATTGTACCTCAACATCACGGAAACAATCGGTGCAAGAACTTGCGCCCCTACTGGTCATCTGCCTCAGTGTCTGTCAAAATCGTAGTTAACTCACTGCCAGAAACTTTCCAACACGCTGCAATCATGCACCGAATAAATGTTTTAATGTTTTGCGTTCTGTGTGTGTTCTCCAATTTTGCAACTGCTCGCATATCTGGCCAACCGTGCAACTGCACGAATGAGGTTATAGACTGCTCGAACCGAAATAAGTCGCAAGTACACCTGGGAGAAAAATGTTCTAACGCCACAAGTGGAAACTTTGAACAAAACAGTCTTATTGATTATCCGGATATGCTCAAGTTCTTCACGGAAGTTAGTATGGCTTCAAATTTGTTGACAAGATTACCAAATTCCACTCATTTGAATGCAAATATAATGGTTCTTGAGTTGTCTGGAAATATGATTGCCAACTCATCGAACGAATTGCAGCAATTCAGTTCACTACAAATTTTAGATGTGTCCGACAATCGTTTGCGATCTCTAGAGTTTCTGCCTGAGCCTTGCTTATTAGTAAATTTTACAGCGGACTACAATTATATTGCAAGTTTGCAGGGTCCTTTAAGTTCCTGCACGCAGTTGCGCTACCTCAGTTTAGATGGAAATGAAGTGGCAAGTATACCCGCGAATATGTTTGCCGGAATGGCTGATCTGAGAATTCTGTCGCTCAATGATAATCCTTTAGGTACTCTATCGGGCGATGTTTTTCGAGGGCCTTTGAAATTGAATAGTCTCTTCTTGAGCGGAACAGAACTTACCGCTATACCACGTATGTATTTTTCAATTCACACAATTTTACAATTACTAGATATACTGAAATTTGTGAAGTAAAGCTTTCTTCATATTATTTTTAATTCCAATGATGTCTATTTCACAAGTATAATAATCAACTCAATATATACTAATATATTTCATTTTAATTTTACTATATTTCCAAAGTATATTTATGATAACTTGTAGAACTCCTCATTCATTCGGTACAAAATAATATATTTTTTTAACTCTTCTATGCAACAGATTCTTTAATGACTTTGATAAATTCGAGTAATTAACTTAGAGTGGAGTTGGAACGTGAAACATAATGTTTTCAAGTGTCGAAAATTGTCTGGACCTTCTAAATAATCAGATATTAATTAATTAAGAACTCTTTTCATATTATTTTCCAGGTCGTCTATTTTCTGGCACTCCAGAATTAAAAATTTTATATTTGAGCCGTAACCGTTTACGTGACTTCCCTTCTCTGCCAATCAGAGAATTAGCGGCTTTGCAAGAACTGAAGATTTGGGGTAACCGCATAACAGAACTACCTACTCTCAGTAATTGCTGCCCACAGCTTCAGGCAAGTGGACATTTTTTAGTATACGAACGATGAGTTCAAAATAATATAAATAAATGTTACTATTTTATATCGTAAAAGAGCTGGCTAAATATTAGTGAATTCAAGTTGATTATAAATTGCCTTCGTAACTATGAAAGCTAGTGCAGCACAAAGAGTCGTTTATGGTATTCGGTTCCTGCAAAATCTTAGGCGTATATTCACCAACGAAGAAAAAGCTCGCCCCTATGTTAACAGAACCTTGTAATCCACTCTACCAGAGAACGCCTGTTTCCGTCTACACCGAGAAATATTTTGGATTGGAGAAATATAAGGAGATGAGCTTGAGAAAATGGTAAATTTGGTGCATCCTTTTTACTTTCTCGTATTTGTACGTATAAACGGAGTAATGAAGGTAGTATAGAGAAAGTTATATAATGCTGCGCGTGAAAAGTGCGAATTTTTGGCAGAAAACCCTCATTGTCAAACCCTGATAACGAAAATGTGAATAGATCTAATTTTTAAATGTAGGAAAAATCATCAAAGGGGTGGTGTAGCCAGAATTATTGTTTTGTGGGTTGTTGATACCGAAAAACAGATTGAGGCAAAACATCCGTCCGACTGCACACCCATCTTTTTGTTTGGCCCAGATTTTTAAATGACACTAATACCATTCTGGTTTTCACCCATTCATATAAAGGTGAAATATGTCCCATTTGCACTGTTATATCTGATTTTTTTTAAATTGAAAAGTTTGATTTTTTCGGCCTCTTCATACAACTATAAATCTGAAGAGAAAGATTTTACCTCCCAATTAAATTCGTTCTCCATATTTAGTTCTTTTGTAAAGGCCACGTACATTTTTTTTATAATTTTAATTGTTTTCGCACAATATTGCGTATAATATGTGCGGTGTTAAAAATAACAAAAGTGCGCTATTAATAACATAAACACCATTTTACTTTAATCTTTTGGATCCTTTTAAATTACAAAATATTATTTTTGACTAGTCACGTCATTAATATTCACAGTAGTAGCTATTTCGATACATTATTGAATTTAGGAGTGCACGTGATTTAAATGATGTCTGATAAAGTTTTCAGGCAAATTCAGAACGTTTCTGTGGAAACGAGCTAAATATTCCGCATATTTAGAAATGCTTAAAGTCATTTTTCTATAAAAAGGGTCAATTTTTCTTCTTCAAGCTTTTCTAACGAATTTCACTGCTTATGATGACTTACAGTTCATTTTACTGTATTATTTTGTTTCTTCAAATTAAATTCGTTCTCCATTTTAATTTCCCGTATGCATACGTACATACGGAGTAATATACGTAGTAAGGGGAAAGTTGTGTAATGCTGCGGAAAATCGATTTCGAGATTTCATTGTGATTCGAACGTATGTACATGTTAGTCAATGACTGAAACTATCGGCACTTCAAACATTTTCTGAATGATTCAAAATACTGACATGAAACTGGACTAATCCTGTGTTAGAAAATGTTCTACAAATAATTTAGGATGTAGGACTCATGATTTGTAGGCAATAGCATACATTTTTATTCTAAAGATATTTCGAGTATTTTATTTTTTTTAAATGGAACTCTCGTATTTTCTAACCGATTAGATTTATCTTTAGAACACAAATTCAGCAGTAATACGATGTATTGGTATTTTATTAACAATAAACGTTTAATAATTAAATTTGTTCAAAGAATTGGTTGACTCGATCGAAACTCGAATCCTCGAACTTTCTTTGAAGAAATTTAATTATTACTATGCATTGTTACTCAATAACGTGGTCACAATTTGGATTTCTTTACGATCGCGGAATATATTCTCCAAGCGTAATTGCGTTCAACAATGTGACGGGATAGAATAAACGTTCAGAAATCCAGATGTAACGTGAGATTTCGAACCAACTATAACGTTTGATTTTAAAACTTAGTGCTTATAATTACTTTTAATAATTAATTATAATAATTTATAAACATTTCCACCGCCACGATTGTTCTCAGTTTCAACACACAATGTATTAAGTTGAGAGATTAAGTCTAGTGCATGTTGTGGCTTCTAAATGGTAGTCGACACTACATTAAATAAATACATATGAAGGAGGCTAGAAATACATTTGTCTGGTGCAGAGAACGAATGTACACAGTGCAGAGCAGAAATTTGAATCCTAGTGGCGAGTTGTTTCTGGGAACAGATGACGTAAAAACTTCCAGGAATTTGCGACTCATTTGTGTTGTTGTCAACAAGTAATTTCAGTTTACTCTAAGAGTGTATTTCGCAAGACCACATATCATACAAATATTTCCCCTTTTAAAAGTCAAAAATGTTTAAATCCGCTAGGTGAACGATGATACTAATGAGAATATTGCGGTGAGTTTTTGACTCTTCGATTGATTCTTTTGGACGAAATGTGAACTGAGTTATTTGGATGATTGTGACATACAAGAGATTCACGCACTCTGTGCAACGACCCATATGGTCTATACCTTATTCATCGAAAGTTCAAGCCGTTTTTTCCCTCTCGATACAAATTTTGGCTTCCAATAAACAAAGTAAATTATGTTATAAAAATCCGAAACACGACAAATATTTTTGTAGAGATTTTTGTATTGATAAATTAGAGAGTTCTTGTGAGTCTAGCTATAAGCTCATATTGTTAATAGTGTAAAGTGTACCATTTATATTAGAAAACTTATATGACATATGAAAGCTAGGCCTTTCTTTCAATAAATATTTATTTATGATTTTTCATTTTTGATGGATTGATGATTTTGAGCATGTAAAGGTATTTAGTCCCGTAAGTGTAGTGCATGCTTTTTCTTTAGGAGCGGAGATGATCCCACCGCTGGGTGGTGAGATACCGCGCTGACCTAATGTCATAATGCGCAATTCGAACCATTTCGCGTAAATTGTAAGAGCAATCGACGAGAAAGTGACGGTCACGAACAGTTCAAGTAGCATTGCCTTTTGTATTATATTTTAAATATTTGTTGTCGATACATGACAATGTGAAATATGAAACTACAACGAATTATACATATTTGATGTGAACACGCTAGCGTTGTTCACAGAGGCCAGACTCATTTCTCTGTCAATCGAATTTTCGGTATCAAGAACTCACAAACTTGGATTCGTGCTATATCACGTGTTAGAGGCTTCTTTTGCTAATTTTTTCAACTGGATGTATCTCCTTTTTCCACCAATACCCTGTAATAAGAATTGTCTGCCGAAATTTCGCCGCTTTGTTTTGCGCGCATTATTACATATATTTTTGACTTCTTAAGAAGTTCCTTTTTAAGCGCAAGAAAGTAAAATGGAAGTGTAGTATTCCGTAATTACTCATACTCTTTTCCTGTAAGGGCTTATTGACAATACAAGCTTAAACATAAACAACGTTGCGGTAAAATCCAGAAACGATATATTATGCGAGACCATTCACACTGCCATGACTTAAACCCGTAAAGTTCAAGAGTTCCCAAGCACCAAGCTTCTATGTTAAATTTATGTCGGAATTCACCCGAAGACCAATGCATGAAAGAAACAGACATGGTGGGTTTCAGGTTGTATTTAGTTTGTGGACATGACACTTCATTAGTTTTATATATTGATCTAGTTTGCGAACAGTTTTGAAGAGAGTACTGAATTCATAGTAAGAATTTGGGACATTTTCCTTGTGACATTAAGATAACATGGCGTAAAAATATATTATGTGCACCGAATTACTCGTGAGTTTTGAGAATCCTTGTTTGTAAAATAAGGGAAATGCGAGCAATAATACAACAGCTACTCGCAATTATATAGAAACACAAATCGATAAGAAAATAGAAGAAAAATCTAGAACCAAAGGTAAAAAGGTATTTCCACAATTCTAGAAACGAATCGATGAAGCTTTAATACGTTCTAATGCTATTGGTTAAAGCAAAACTTACGCTTACATTTGTCGTTGTGAATGCTTATTTTTGCGTATAAATTTTACTTCTAAGCCTGCAGCATTAAATTATGTGCAACGAATTACTTGTGGAATTTGAGATTCATTGTGGGTAAAATAAGGGAAATGCGAGCAATAATACAACAGCTACTCGCAATTATGTTGAAACACAAGTCGACAGGAAAATAAAAATTAAAATCTATTTCTTTTTTAGGTATTTACACTATGCTAGAAACGAATCGATGAAGGTTTCATTCGTTCTATTCTTATTTTTTAAGGCAAAACTTACGCTTACATTTGTCGTTGTGAATGCTTCTTTTGCATGTGTGTATTTTACTTCTAATGTTTTCGGCACTAAATTACGTTTAAGTTTGCCTTGTGAGTAAGGGCTAACGAAGGTGTTTGTCGCTGGGCGTTGGCAGAAGGTGGACCTGGACATGAACGAGGTGCGCGCGCCGAGTGAAGAGGCGGTGCTGTCCTTCGTGCGGGGCAACGCGTCGACGCTGTTGCTCAAGAACAACCCGCTGCAGCCGCACGCTCTGCGCTGGGCGTTGGCCTCCCCGGCGCTGCAGCCGTTCGTGCGGCAGGATAACTGCGCTTGCGGAGGCTTGCACCTGTCGCACGCCCCCCTCAACGCCCGCGCCGGCGTCCGCTGGTGCGTGCGGGTCCCCTGCGGGCCCTCCGCGACGCACGCCGACTGGATCGCCGCTGTTAACGCCTCCCACCCGCTCTAAATCAGGCGTGAAACGGGGTGATTTTTGGAGTTTTAGAAGCCCTGTATACATGTTTCGGAATAAATGTTACAATCTTCTAGAGTACGGAGGGGTTCGAAGTTGATAACTTTATACTTAATTACATGTGTTGGGAAATATTATAGCATAATGGTACACAAGTGCAATAAGAAACCTAGCGCCCCAGATTAGTAGGTAACACATCATTAACTATTCACCAAAAACATAATGCAAATTGTTACCTTTACAGTGAAACATAGGTAATTCGATTTTCATAGAAGAAGCGCCTGACTTGAGAAAGAATTGAACGTGATAAGCAGCAATAACAGAATATTTATTAATAGAATATTTCAACTGTATGGTTTCTATTTAAATGCTCCTAAT